TTACAGGTTTTTAAAATGTTCAGTATTACAGTTTTAGGAACCGAATTGTAGCCTTGAAAATCATGGATCATGTCAACAACTAATGAGAAATAATTTTGAATAGTCTATTATTTAACAAATATGAATAATAATCTCATTTGGAATACTAGAAATATGTATAATAAAATACTGTATTGTAAGGTGATATGACATTGCTCTTATACTTGAAATAATCTCCAAATTTTTTTTTAAATAATGAAAATCATAAAGCACTATGCTACATAAATTTTGGATGAGTTAATTCTATCATTCTATATATGAAACAAAATGAGTAAACTCTATATTTTCATATGTTTAAAACTAGTTTTAATTTTTAAAATTCAGATTCAGATTGACTCCCAAATTGAGATGCCAATTTTTAGACCAGAGAAAATCTCATGGCTAAGATAGAAATGAGTCTTCACGGAAATGCTGACACAACCCTAGCTATAGATGTTTGAGTGTATGGCTATAAATCATTTTTCCAAATATTATACTGCAAAGGTTCAAGTAGAGGAACTTGCAGAATATTTAAGTAGTTGAAAACAATTCTGTAACCATAACAAAATTACAAAACTGTGACCCTATTTGCCCATGAGTGTAAAATACTGAAAAGCTATAGCACTATAGAAATATCAGTGACTTTGGGTGGTAAAATATGGGTAACATGATGAAATTAACATTTTTCAATTCATTTACTTTTCAAAGTATGTAGTTACATTTAAACTGATGCAATGCAAAAACTTTAAAACATTTTTTTTTTGCAAACCTCTCAACTTATTTAGCATATTTAACCACTAATCAGGATAAGATTATAAGACACTAGAAATTTAGGTTGAATATTGAAAAAGCTTTTTCCATTAGGAAATCTATTAAGCTATAAAATAATCTCCTTTGAGAAGGGGTCAGGTTCCAATGAGTAAGGTATTTAAAATGGGAATGGACAACACAATACCAAAATAGGCCAAGAGAAGAAACCTTTTACTGGGAGGTGGCTAGACCAGATGGCTTAATTCTCTAATTCTAATTCAATTCTAATTTCTTCTCCTCCCCCTACTCCTTTTTAATGTCTAAGGTAGGGGTAGCAATAATGAGGTAATTATGCCACACCAGAGGAGACTGATAAACATTAATTTCAAACTAGAGACAACTCTTATGTACTGACCATAATATGGTCTAAGTAGCGGAATTATTTTCTCTTCATTGTCATTTAGGCATTAGTTGAATAGATAACTATTGATTACATGCTGTGAATTAATGTTTTGATATTTATTGACTAGAATAATATAAAGCAAATTGTGATTTATGAATGCAAGATATTCATGAGCTATCACTTCTGGGTAATATGATACCAGTTGAGTTTTGTAGTGCATATAGAATATTAGAATATAGAACAGAGAGTGAGTGTAAGCAGTGAACTATATTAAGCAATTATTCAAGTGGAGAAGTTATGTTATAATAATATATCAATATATTAGATACTGGATAAAAGGATCTACATAAAATATATTTATGTCACAAACATGATTTTTAAAACAATTGAAAAATTAACACTCTGAAGTAAAAATTTAATTTATATACTTTCAGTATTAAAATGCAATTATTATGTTAGCAGGAAGACAATTTGGTATATATAATAATATTAATTTTTATTTATTAAAGCCTCACCAAATCTTAACCTTCATTTTCAGCTGAATGTTTCATTTAATTTCACATTCTTTTTATCATTTAAATTTTGCTAATGTATAAAAACAATGAATTTCAACTTATGCAAATTTATTAAAAGTTCATTAAACCGATCTTTCATTGTATATAGTGTGGTGATGCAACACATCTTTTTGCATCATAAATTTAAATTGCCATTTCTCTCTTGATAGTATGTTAGGATAAGAATTTCATCTTGTTAATCATTCCTTTTAATAAAATATACTGGTAGGTAAAAATTTAAAAGAACAGAAGAGATTCCAAAATGAGTATGTAAATTTTGCATATACCTGGCTACTAATCCCACTATTTGGGTTCTAAGAATATACTAGTCATTTGAAATACTGAACATTTGAAACCCTAAAAAAAATTTACATAGTGGCATCCAACATACAGCCATTCTTAACCCCCCCCCATTATTTTTCAAATCAGCAGCCTATTGTTTTCTTCAAAACCCTAGATATCACATCAGTAATTACAAAGAAAAGAATCCTAATCCTCATTAAAATAGCAAATAACTACAACACTACTTATTTATTTATTTTTGTGCAAACGGTAGTAAGGTCATTTGATGGTGGAGTTGACCATGTTAACACAATCAAAGTTTCAAGATGCCTCCCCCTTACCATTGTTCCATTGTTTCAAATTACCTTAAGCTTTAAAGAGGTTGTTCTTGAATTACGGATACAATATTTTTTTGAAAAAGAATATTTTCTATCATCTAAAAACAGATCCTTAGTTGAACACTATTTTCATATCCAGTTGAGCAGCTGATTTTTTAATTTCCAGGCCCAGCTGCATTTATGCAGTAGCTATTGGGCCATAACAAAGAAGCTCAATATCAGGTGGAAAAGGTGGAATAAAGCTACAATACTGTCTAAAGGGGCAAGTTTTAATCCACCCTTTTTGATATCTACTAGGGGTGTGTAGGGGAAATGTTTTAATTTAGAACTGTCCTGTCAGCTACTATGTTTTCCATTCACATCCCAAGCCCCTTGTGCTGTTCAGTTGGAAGCTGTGCTATAAGAATGTGAAGAATGTAAACAGCCTTTTATTGTACAAAAGGATAGCAGTGTTTAAGAAATGTGTGGCTTATCGCAGGGCTGCAGCTCTGTACTTCACCACCATGATAAAGTGCTATAGGGGGAAAAACACATTACAAGACAAGCACAACCCCAAAATGGATTACAATTCTACAATAAGCTTTCTTAAAAACTAATCAATCAACTTATGCCACGATGTTAGAATCGAGTTCTTAAGGAGGATACATAATCCTTTCAAGATTTATTATGTATTCCCTATTTATTCATTATGTATTGGAGTATAAGTGACCGAAACTACCCACAAAACATGAAAGCCTTTCAGATATATAATAGGTGGTAAGTAAACTTTTGCAATATGACCTCAAAGTGATCTGTCCTTGTAATGAATGCATTCATGAAGACAATGTACATACTGAAGACAGATACCTGTACTTCTCATTTTTTCAGAGTTTTCAAACATACTAGAAAAGCCTTACCTTTTTTTTTAACTATTCTTTAATAGGAACCTATTGTAAATAGTCTAACTAAAAATACTATGTATTAGGATTCTGAATTGTATCTTGGTAAAGCTTGCCAAGTCATTATATAAACTGGAGGTATTATAATATGCAAAATAACATGCCTAATTTTTACTTTAACTTTAAATGAGTTGACAAATGTCCACTCTTTGTTACCTCTGCCAGACATCAAGAAAATTAATAGAAAACAGTGTAGATGCAGCTTTTTTATGTTATAAAACTGTGGATGGGGGTGCCCTCAGGTGGGCTGTCAACAACAGGAAAAGCCTTTAAAGTCAGCTCATATAACTTTCAAATAAGCATCTATGCTCCTCAAAGTCTCAGTACGTAACCATATTGATACAATTTAAGTAGAGTTGAAAAACTTTTACCAGCTTGGGGTGGTGTTTTTAAGGGGGTGGTGCTGTTAAAAGTCTGCATTCTTAAGTTCTTAAAACGTTACTGAGTTGGGTTGAAACAGAAGTGCATCTATGAAGACTAAAAGAAATCATGGTATACCCCTTCCCCCCAAAAAAACTTCCCTTCCCCGAAGCACCAATTGTATTAGGACAATCAGTCAAGTACCTAGAGATGACAAGAACATAAAAGAAAAGCTGACCAGATGCTTACAACCAGATGCTTAACCAAAACAAAGCAGAAGTGGCTTTTTTATTCTATTTTTAAAAGTACTTTAAAGGTTTTGATTTAAGGTCTCCATTCAATGTAATTAGCTAATGACAACGAATTAAGACAAACTGCAGCAAAGGAAGCACGGATACCATGCAGGGAACCAGCTCAGAGTCGTGAACTGGACATGGATTTGGCCTCGATCTTTCAACGACCTTAAAAAAAAACCCTACCTACTTCACTCCCGGCCGGCAATGGCCAACAGCCGGCGGAAAGGTACCCGCGGAAGACTCTGCGGTTCCCTGAGAGCTCCGGCTGGGAGTTGCTGGTGAAAGTTACATCCTGCCACCCACTAGCAGACAGAAAACCCCAAGCCTTCTACCAGAAGCACAGGGAAGAGAAAAATGCCATCTGCCCGAAAAGCCAACCTTCTTCCCCACTTTCGACCCCTTCCCCATATACACCAGTACATCTGGTACTGGGCAGACCAGACTTATCTTTATAAGAGGGAAGGATGCAGTCAAACTCAGGTGCAGGGGAGCGCTTTTGGGGAGATCTATACCCCAAACTAACATTTACAATCCCTCAAATCATCCAAAATAAAAATTTTTAAAAGAAAAGAAGCCTCAAACTCCTCCAAACCATCTTCTAATTGACTTGGAGGAAGGTGTCCCTCGGCTTAGTTTCCCCCATCTTCTCCGTCAGTCCCCAGTCTTCGCCCTCTGGGTCCTCTTTACCCTGGTCCTCATCTGCCTTCTACCCACTTCTCCGTTCTCCTTCACATCCCTTCCTTGAGTATCCCTACCTCCCGTCCATATCTCTCAACCTTAACCCTATCCGCCTCCAGGTCCATTCTATCTCAGACTCGGTGTCTCTCCGTCCCCACCTTCAAGTCCCTTCTGTTCCCCCAGTTCTCCCTCTACTCCCTCCCACCTCGCCTTTGTAACTGGCCGGGGGCTCAGCTTCCTTCACCCTCCAGGTTGGGTTAACATTTCCCGCCGAAAAGCTCCCACTGGCAGAGCGAGCCCGGGAGAGCGGGGCCGGCCAGGGGCTGGTGAAGGCGTGGGAGGCCGAGACGTAGCACTGGGGGCTGCGGGCGGGGGCCACTCACCAGCTGGAGGAAGCCCGGGACCACGACAAGGGGCAGGGGCCGCAGGTACATGGTTCCGGCTCTGCGTCTCACAAGCTCCGCTCCCTCGCTTGTCTCTTGCACATCTCCACTTCGGGGGGCAGGACTGAAGAGGACAGGGACATGCCACTGCGCTTTTCTCTCCCCCCACCTTTTTTTTTTAAACTCCAAACACCGAACTGAAGGGTGGGTGAGAGAGTGGGGAGGGATATGTATTGGGAGTGAAGAGATGGAAAGAGATCTGAGTTCTTCCCCCCCACACCCGCACACTCCTTCAAGAAGACAAAAATAATAATTAAAATAAATTCTGAACAACCACCACCAACAAAGTCCAGTGCCTGAGCAGAGCTGAGATGGGGCTCGCTTGCCTTGGCTGCAGGGGGGCAAACTGAACTGGATGCCAGTGGGCACCAGGCAGTGGCTGCTGCCTCGCGCTATCTGCGGCTCCTTCCTTCCCCTAGCTCTTTCTCCAACGCCGCGGTAGCCGCGCAGCTGCCTTCCTGGCCTGAGAAGAGCGGGGCTGGCTCAGGAGTCCCGGGGGAGTTCCGGGAGGCCCCGTTCCTCCTCCCCCCACCCCTGACTCCCGCCCAGCAGGGGGCTGGTCCAGGGCAGCTCAGCGGCAGAAGCGAGCCTAGCCCCATTGGCTCTCAGTTTGAGGGAGGGGGCTACAAAATAAGAAGTGGGGGGTGTGGGGGACGGGGTGGGGTGGAGACCAAGGGGAAAGAGTGCAAAAGAGAATTCTTGTATGCAAAAGGACTGGGTGAGATGAGGCGGCGGGCATGGGGGGGGCGTCACTGAAGAAGATCCAGGGTGCAGTTTCAGGGGGAAGCTTGGGGCTGGAGACAGAAAAAGGGGGATAAGATGTGGAACTGGGGAGGAAGCTAGAGAAGCAGGGTTACGGCTACTAGAGGGTGCGGTAAGAGAATGATTAGGGCAAACTGGAGATCATGGTGAAGTCTAAAGAGGCAGATGAAGTCGGCGTAATGGGGAGCATGGGGGAGTTATCGGAATGATGGCTGTGAGGGACAGAGAGTTAGGGCCTGGGTGTATGTGACCTCTGCATCTGCATGATATGCAGAAGTAGAAGGTGCTCCGGAAGAATACCCAAGCTAGCCAGAGGGAAAACTAGCTTTCGGGAGTATAGAGTAGTCACCTAGAGATACCTCCGAGTTCGAACAAGGGCCACGCTGGTGCAGAGTGAGAGTAATTCTCTAAGTATGGCCCTCAGGTCATTCCTTGATTGGGCCAAGAGACAGCGCAGTATAAAATTGAGCAACAGCGTTGTGCAGAGATTGCCTTCCAGAGGAGTTCAGTAGTATGAGTAGTATCTATGTCTGTCCTTCACCTCTGGACTTGTCTCACTTTTTGTAGGAGAAGATTAAGGAAGGTGGAACTCGATGCTGGAGAGTATATATCTTCAATCCCTTTTGCCTCTACCCTATTTCTCAGTCCACTGGGAAAAGCATCCTTGTACTCTATCGGTACCCCTAGGGACTGAGATTTGGTGAGGAAAATTAAAGGCCAGCATGGAAGCAAAGAAAAGAGAAGAGGCAAGAGTTGTTTATTTCACTTACAGAATTTGGCCTTTTTCGTTGTTGTAGTTGTTAGAATTCTTTAAAAGGATACTTCTAATCCATCCCCCCCTCCTGAAATGAAAATGAAAAAAAAAATCCGTATTAAGAAGTCTAAATGCTCATTTTCGAAGTAAAATGTCCTCAGCCCTGAAGGTCAGCCACACTCCTGGATAGGAATTGGTGATCAGAAGGGCAGAGCTCTTGCTCCTAAGGTTGGCTGAGGCTGCAGTGCAGGGAGGATGAGGAACAATGTATAAAGCATCCCTTGAGTATGGGAGGATTGGAGAATATGTTTGTCTAAATAGCCCTTAAGTATAGGAAGTGTCCTGCCCACACTTCTACCTCTATTTCCTCTTTTCTGTGGAATAAAATGCCTAATTCCTTCTATCCTTTACATCATATCCTGATTTCCAAAGTAGTTGAGGGGAAAGATATAGGCAGTTGACCCAAAAGGCCAGTAAATATATGTGAAAATTCTAGAATGTATTATTATGCAGACAACTCATTAGTACTAAGATAAGTAGTGATCTCTAGGAGCCAGTATGGGGTCACTTAAAACCATCATATTGAGTTAACATTTTCTTTGTTAATCAAATTAGCACATCAGCAGATCAGGAAAATGCCTTAGTGTAATGTATCTGGATCTTGACAAGATATTTTACAATGTATCTCATGATAACTTTTGGTTGAGCTAGATGTGGGGTGGATGGTAGTAGAGTTACATGTTGATAAAAATAGCTAACATTTATATAGCACCTACTATATGCTAGGCAATTAACAAATATTTTCTCGTTTGACCCTCACAAGGACCCTGGGAGATGGGTGCTATTATTATCCCCACTTTACAGATGAGGGGTTAAGTGACTTGACCAGGGTCCCACATCTGTAAGTGTCTGAGATTGGATTTGAACTTAGGTCTTCCTTACTCCACGCCCAGCAATCTGTCTATTATGTCAACTAGATGACCCTGCAGATGAATTTATAGCTGATATAATAGCATATTCAAAGAGTGTTGATTGATAGAGTAGTGTCAATGTGGAAAGGCAGATTGCTAATGGCATGACACAGGAGTTTGTTCATGGTTCAAGTTATTTCATTATTTTCCAATAACTTAGATGAATAAATAGAAAGCAGGATTATCAAATGTATGTATGACCATGCTGGAAGGGAACGTTAACTAAATGGATGACAGTCAGGCTCTAAAAAGAACTTGACAGGCTTAAAGGAGAAGCTTAAACTAAAAGAGGGAAATATATATATATATATATATATATATATATATATATATTTATATACAGTCATATATATGTGTGTAGTCTTGCACTTAGGCCAAAAAAATAAACTATATATGGGAAGAGAATAGGATCAACAGAAGTTCACGTGAAAAAGTTTTAGGGGTTTCAGATTACAAAAAATTGAAAATGATTCAACACTGTGATGTGGTTGCCAAAGTGAAGCAATAGTCATCCTCATTAATAGAGACAGAGTATTGGAAACAAGGGAATTTTAGTCCCATTGTATTCTTTGATGGTTAATCCACACATGGGGTTTTATATTGAGTTCTAGGTGTTATATTTTAAGGGACATATTGACAAACTGTAGTTCATCCCAAGCATGATGAGGGACTTGAAACCATGACAAATGAGGAACAGTTGAAGGAACTAGGAATGTTTAGAACTGGAAAAGAGAAGTCCTAGGGGGAATAAATACTGTCTTCAAATATTTGAAGGTCTGTCAGTGATGGCCATTCCATAGATCCCAGGAGATTAATGAAGGCAGCAGCTGCACATATTTTTCAGCTGACTGCAGTGTGGGTAAATGGAAGAACAGTGTTGTTGGCAGACAAATATACAGGCTTGAAACTCTCATCTGCTCTTGGCCCCCATTTCATTTTTGAGTGTGAAGACTTGAATTCATGTTATTTGCTAGCTTGACCCCTTTACTGTCTCCTGCCATATTGTACTGTACCTCTCACTTCTATTTAGGTTGGAGCTTCCTCTTTACCCTTCCCCATCTATTCCTGGAACATTATCATTATGAAATCCTCTTGCTAGAACTTGATCAAAACCTTTTCAAGATCTTGGCTGTTCTGGCCACCACAGTCATGTAAAAGGATTAAATAGGCTTTCTCTGAATGTAGATCCAGAAGAAAGAACTAAGCTCTGGCCCCTGGTGCACTCCTGTTTTCCTACATTTTTCCTTTGTTAATTACATCCATTCCCCTGGCTTTAACAATAACCTCCACATTAATGACTTCCAAATCTTTAACTCAGCATCTGTTTTAAACTCATATATCAAGGTGATGTATTTCCAAATACCTCCTAGATATCTTTACCCTATTTGGATTTTGCCTCTTGTACCTCAAACTAAGTATGTCCCAAGCTGAACTCACTACCTCCTTTCCAAAATGTGTACCTCTCTTTATTTCTATTGATGGTGCCATGATGGCACTGGTCACTGGAAAATGAAACCTTTATGTCACCTATGAATCACCTCTTTTTCTCACCTATCACATTCAAAAGGTAGCTTGAGATAAAACTCTGGACTTAAAGTCTAGATGACTTGAGTTCAAATCCCACCTCAGATACTTGCTAGCTATGTGACTCTAGGAAAGTAACTTAACCTAACTGTTCCTCGGTTTCTTCATCTCTGAAATGAGAGGGTTGGACTCCATGAACTATAAGGTTCCTTCTGTCTCTAAATTTATGATCCAACTATGTGTAATCAGTAAGGAGAATTATAATCTTTTGAAGGATTATGTCCAAACTCACCTCCATTATGTGGATAAATCCACTTTCCTGATAGAGTACAAAGGAAGCTTGACTTCAACCTTTCAATACTAGCCTGCAGCCTCATTGTAACGATAGAGACTGCTTTAAATCCTCAACACACTTGCATAAGCAGACACACACACACACACACACACACACACGTGTCCTCACAATACCATCCAGGAAGTGGTAATCTACTAATTTTGACACATCCACCACTTTTGAAACCTTACATACTAGAAAGATACTTTCCCTTAAGATTGGGGATACTTAAAAGGTTCTTAATGCTAGAAGGGACCTAGAGGGTTTTTTGTTAGATTAACTCTTTGACCCTAGGCAAATTCCAATACAATACAATACAATCTGATAAATATTTATTAAGCATCTAAGTGCATGGTGCTGTTCCAGGTATTGGGGATACAAGGTCAAAATGAAAAATAGCTCCTGCCTTCAAAGAGCTTTCATTCCACTAAAGCAAAACAGTAAGTTATTATGGAGAAATTTCACATTTGGCAGGATTAGCTTGGTTAGTGGAGAAGAATATCAGAAGAAGTGTGACAAGTATACCTTCTGGACAACTTTTGGATCCCCTTCCAGACAGTTTGAGAAAACTATTAAGTGTCTCATGTAATTAATAAAAGTTACACAAATTAAACCCAGCTATTCTTTTTTGATAATTGGAACATAGGTAGCAATGTTTCCCTAATCCTACTCTATCTCAATGTGCAATTCCTACCATATCTGTTTATTCATACCCATGTCATTCTCAGCACACTAAAAGCAATTACTATTTCCTTTGCTTGGATATAATGCTAATTCATATTTTCTTTTTGTGGTTATTGGTATTACTATTGTATATGTTAAGATACTTTATAATCTCCTAGTTTGTCAATGTTGTCTTTCTCAGACAATAGCAGGAAACAGTTTAATTCAATTTGTAGAATGCCTATTAAAAGTGATCTATCACAATAATATATAGAATGACTATTATAATGTAAATGAAAACAATACTAAAAGACAGGTAAAATTTAATTAAATTAAATAACTAACTAAATAAAAAGAACAATGTTAGCTGCAGATAAGAGATTAAACATGCTTTCCTCATCTCTGTAGAGGGTTGTATGGGGAGGCCTATGAATAGCATATACTTATAGGTCTGGGCTCTGT